AATATACTAAGTTCATTTTGACGGTTGCGGCCGTCGTCATTGCGCGATGTTCTTGCATATTTTTTCAGGATCCGACGTCTGATAATATGGCTTAACTTTCCTTCTAATCTTTTCTACATGATAGTATACGGGGCAAGGCGCGTACTGCCGAATGGTCANGGGGGGGGGGGGGGGGGGGGGGGGGGGGGGGGGGGACACCACTCCCAATGGGAAAAGGTATAAAGTCCTCCCCCGGAGATTAAAACACCTCTCTGCTATATTCTCGGACATGTTTACTTGCCATTTTCATTCTTTTATGACCTACTGTATATCGAACTTTAATGACGGAGTACCATTTTCATCACTGTGTAGATCGAGGCGAACAGGCAATGTTTTGTCAGTCGATAGCATACAAGTTTCGCTCGAGTTTGTGCACTTTGCTAAGACACGTTCGTAGAGCGGGCCTACAGATTGACAGCCAGCAGTTTATACAATTAGCATCTGCATACAACGTGGTTGCAATATTAAATCAACCGTCGCGACAATAATTTCATTTTCTTAAGTTGCAATTTCAGTTTACCACGGTTGGAAGACAAACGGAGCGATGATTTTTTTTCTGGCGTAGTAAAATAATTATTGTTTTTCAGTTAAATGTCAAGGTTGATATCCAAAAACATTTTGTTTGCTGAAAACTGAGGGACACCCAACGACGCTGTATTGGTCGGAACAGCATACATGGGCATGATCGGATGTGAGGGTTTTTTGTGAAACGCAGAGTGAAATATCGACAAATTTTGTCGAATTCAGATTGCATGTCAGAAACCGAGCAGAGAATGCTATTGAACGGTGATTTATTTGACACGCAGTATCCGACACAAGAACGCCAGAAATAGATTCGAACCGGATAAAGAACGCAAACAACATCAATACGTCGATATATTGGAAGTGACAACTCTCATCTGTCCTACGTCAGGGAAAGGCTTTTTTGTCAGAGGAAATGCCTGACATGGTAATGGTCTACGTACACATTAGTTGTGTAGAACGGTTCACATATTGTCTTGGAGGGTTCACATGTAAGTGTATAATGGTTCCGTAACATTAGTTGTGTGCAAAGGTTCACACATTGTCTAGGATGGTTAACGTTAATACATACGTGGAAGATGGTTCACGCATCATAGCTTAGCATGATTGAATCACACATATATGTAGGATGATTTATCTGTCATTATACTTGTAAGATGGTTAATACATTATACGTGTTGTATGATTAACAAATTTTGCGCTTACAATGGTTCACGTATGTGTTGGATGGTTCATACTTTATATGAGTTAGATGATTCACGTATTATACATGTTAAGATGATGTTTCACATAGTATACGTGTCGGATGGTTCACATAGTATACCATACCTGTAGGATAATGCACACATAGATGCGTCGAGTGGTTCACACATTATGTGTGTAGGATCATAGTCTGGTTCACAGAAAACCTCTCCTTTGTGGTCCACTATATAGACTCGTTCTAGAATATTAAGTTATTTAGAAAAGAAATAAACTCTAATAAATTTGATCACTTTGGTGTCTGATTCTAAGTTCTCAAACTAGGGGGATATTAGCTAGTAGTAAAATGCGGCTGGGAAACAGTATAGGTTTTCTCACTCATGATTAACTGGGTATACCTGCTAAGAGTTGGTAAACAATTTTGGTTACCCACTTGTGTCTTCAAACAATTTGAAAATTAACTAATTCTCGCTAGATCTTCGTTATCATCTTCTCATCGGTCCCGATAGAGACATCTGATCCATTCACACACATGCACGACGTCCAGAGAGAGCCTGATTGGGTCGAGGATCAGGTTGCATTCCCCGTCTTCGTGAAGGAACGGACGTTTCCGGTATTTGAGGAAATCAGTGCCGAACTAGTATAAGGAAGTGAATTCCTCCACACCGACTGGCTTTTCACTGGTAGTGCTTAAAGTACATGTTGGTATTTATGTATGTATTACAAATGAACACGTTTCAAAACCACCAATTCCTTAACATGCGTACACTCCTACTGGCTACGCTCTAAATGGAACCGAACTGCAAAATGTAATTTCCATACACAACCAACCACACATATTCTTTCTATAATCTTAGACTGTAGTTACACTATTTCCATTCCCCAAACGCTATAATTACAATGTAACTAATAATATACCACTCAAATTATTTTATTAATTACATTGTCATCCCTCCTATGCCACTCTAATTACATTGGTACATTTCTATTTGTTGCTCTAATTACATAGTTACATTTCCTCTGCGACTCTAAAGGTTGTTACCAATCTTTTAATACTCTTTATTATATTGTAACCATTCCTCATAATCCACTACACTAATTACAATGTAACCATTTCTCATAATCCACTACACTAATTACATAGTAACCATTCATCTTTGATTCTAATTACATTATTACTCTAATAACATCATAACCAAGCATCTTCTACTGTAATTACATTGTAACCATTCCTCATAATCCACTACACTAATTACATAGTAACCATTCATCTTCGATTCTAATTCCATTATTATTTTTCTCTTATGCTCTAATTACATTGTCACCATAACTTTAATACTCTAATTACATCATAACCACTCATCTGCTACTGTAATTACATTGTTACATTCCCTCTGCGACTGTTATTGTGTCTTAACCACTCATCTCCTACTGTAATTACATTGTTACATTCCCTCTGCGACTGTTATTATGTCTTAACCACTCATCTACTACTATTATTACATTGTTACATTCCCTCTGCGACTGTATTACATTGTTACATTTCTTCTGCTACTGTAATTACATTGTTACATTCCGTCTGCGACTGTAATTACATTGTTACATCCCCTCTGCTACTGTAATTACATTGTTACATTCCCTCTGCTACTGTAATTACATTGTTACATTCCCTCAGCGATTGTAATTACATTGTTACGTTCCCTCTGCTACTGTAATTACATGTGTTATTGTGTCTTAACCACTCATCTACGACTTTAATTACATTATATTTCCTCTTCAACTCCTATAGCATCGTTGCGTTTTTACATCGTTGTCAGTCCTCTTTGAATTTAGTTACATCGATACCGCTCATCCGCGACCCTTATTAAATCGTGACCAATCATCTACGATTATAATTACATTATCTTTCCTTTGCAATTCCACTTACACTGGTTCGATATCTTTACGACTCTAATTGCACTGTTTCGATATCTCTACGTCTTAACTTACACTGTTTCGATATCTCTACGTCTTAACTTACACTGTTTCGATATCTCTACGACTCTTCTTGCACAGTTTCGATATCTCTACGACTCTACTTGCACAGTTTCGATACCTCTACGACTCTAATTGCACTGTTTCGATATCTCTACGTCTTAACTTACACTGTTTCGATATCTCTACGACTCTACTTGCACTGTTTCGATATCTCTACGACTCGAATTACATAGCATTCTATATTTACATCGTTACTATTCATCCGCGATTGTTATTACATTGTTACCATCCTCCACTACTCGTTGTCGGTATGATGTGACCGGGCGGAATGATGTGTTTGGTTCCTTCGGCATGGCATTTCAGTGAGATAGCACTATAAAGTCGGCATCAGATCCGCGCTATCACAAGGAGGCAAGCACACCAACATACCATGTCTCATGCATACACACACGCAAGCATGCATACACTACACACATGGATGCACGTCCTTAAATGACCTTAGCTGTTAATAGGACGTTAAACAAAACTAAACCAAACCAAAATATTACTCTTATCAAATAGTTACCATTCCGCCTTAGGCTGGAATTACACTGTTATCATCCCCCCGTCTCTTATTACATTGTTATCTTTTATCTGCGACACTGATTACATTTTTTATTTATTCTTTGACTCTTAATTAAATTTTAACCGTTCCTCTAATACCCGAGCAACATTGTAGTTCAGCCATTTATTCGCTACTCCAATTACATTACTATCATTCCTTTTAACAGTTGCTTTGTTACCATTCCTCTTCGAGACTGATGTCATTGGTAATGACGTGTTACTCTCGTGGTAGAGTAAAATGAAAAACTATTGTGTGTTGACATTTTTTGGGATTGAAATGACCCTACTTTTTCCTCGTAGTTCTGTGTTGTTGATATATTCTCGACAAATTGTTACGAAATCTAGCAATTCACTTTTACCAAAGTACATTCATGTACGATGGAGCCGTACTACGCATAAACACACGGGGTAAACACTGTCTGGGTACAATTCGCGACTTCAAACCGCTCAGAATCATGTTGTGTTCGCAAAATATTGAAAAAGGAATTCCATCAAGTTCTTTAAAACCAAGTGTAATATGGTGTAATGTGCTAGTTGGCGTCGTTATTGGCGGGTGATATGTAACAGTAACGCAGTATGGGCGCTCGTGTCCCGGGTAGAACATCTTCTGTAAGTGTAGCACTGCTGGCGTCTAGTTCATAATATTGTTTAATAATGAAAGATAAAAGATCGTTGGCAGTGTGGATTTTTGGAATAGAATTTAAGATCTAACATGTTTATTAGCTTGCCACAGCTGTACATGCTGTTTGGAAAATTATGTCAGGTATTTTGATATACAGGAACTATACGTATATGGACGTCGTTGTGAGCAAGTATCGAACACACTGTTCTGCCATTTCCCCCCAATATATTAAAAAGGTATTGTGAAAATGACAAGAATAATATTTTTCGACAAACGTACTTGTTTAAAAGATATAACATCAATATCATACTTTACACCTGGTCTGCAAGGACATGAGCTTGTGTCCGAGCTAATCAATACATTTTTGCATCCTTTAATTATGTATGTTCTTTTGTTTCCGGTTTGATCAATTCAACGATGCAATGACGTTATTTTGTTTCCAATTTAACCAATTCAACGGTGCAATGACGTTATTTCGTTTCCGGTTTGAAAAGATACCTGGAGAGGTGACGTTATTTTTGCTTGGTAATTAACTCACCTGTCTAGCACAAGTTCCTCCAGTTGACTGAGATCACAGGCGATGTATTCTAGGGAGGCGTCCGTTATACGCGGACACCAGGACAGATCTAGCGACCGCAGCTTACGTAGGTTTTCTGCAATAAGTTCCACACCGTCGTCCGTAATTTTACTGCACCCGGACATACTGAGGACGGTAAGGTTAGGCAGGGAATGTACTATGTTCACGATCCCGTGGTTGGTTATTTCCCAGCAGGATTGCAGTCTCAGTAACGACAAACTGTAACTCTGTTTGGCACTGAAAAACGCCAAAGCGGCGTCAGTCACGTGGTACGCTTGAAGATTCAACTCGTACAACGACGGAAGCAGCTGAGCAATGGCGCCGACAGTGTCGTCGGCCACATTGATACAGTCGTTTATCGTCAACGAGACGATTTTCGAGTTAAGACACGACCAAAGTCCTGTCTCAGTTAGTTCATTGCACCCCGAAAGCTCAAGTCGGTAGATACAAGGCATACGTTTAAATAGCTGTTCCATCCCTGTGTCGGTCACGTTGGAGCAACGCAAACCTACCGAACGTAATTGTTTTTTACACGTGGAGAAGTGATTGACGAAGTCCACGAGGTCATCGTCAGTGGCCCCGAACAAGCATATTGAGTCAAAGCTCCTCATCTGTAGGCTTTCATAGAAGATCCGCCTCATGTCCTCCTCGCGACTGAGGTCGCGACAGGATATGATAGGGATGACGTCCAGCCAGAAACGGGGGTGGTACAAGATGGCTTTCCAAGTTAGGCACACCTGTGACAACACCCCCCTCTCTTCAGCTGAAAAATACATGAAAAATTTAGATAAAAACCTCTCATACATGAAAAGATCATGAATAGTTTCCGGTTGGTGCCTTCCGAACAAACTACGGATTTTCCTGGCAATGAGAGGTTTTGGAGAGCGGACTACTCTGGCACTCATCGCACCTCCATTGGCTATTCTCGCTTGACCTGTTGTTTCCCTCGCTGTCACCGCTGTTTGTTGATGATGTTGCTGTTGTTGTTGTTGTTGTTGTTGTTGTTGTTGTTGTTGTTGTTGTTGCTGCTGCTGCTGATTTTGTTGTTCTCTGTTAAATCTAAGTCCTCGGATACCGTTAGATATTTCCATATAAGCCCTACGAATTGTAGACATGACTAGTCACAAATACTCGTCGTTAACGATGCCTCCTTGTGGAGCCGACCACAGCTACTAACAGCGTGTGATTATCTGTGAGAACTGGATCTGTACTTTGAAGCATTTTGTATCCTGGACATTTCATTCACATGCACGGAATATGTATCGACCGATGGCAGCACGGCCCGGGGGGTTCAGTTAACCAACGCGTTCATTGGCGGTGTGATGGCAAACTCACACCAACGCGTCTTATGATTTCCAATCACACTGTTTATCTGGAGCACATGTACGAAATCTGTATCACATAAACAAGTCACATATTATCATCATTTAGTTTCACGTCTTCAATGTATCGAATAAAACTGGTACATACACGACCAATCGGGTCGATAGCTTGACAGTAGCACACATACACAATACTCCGATGTGTTCTGTACCGCGTCCTGCTGAACACGGCTTCCTCTGTCCTTAGGAACCAACCTAGTTATCCTCATCTTATTTAATTATACAAGCTGATCAGAGGTGAGCCACGGTATGTAATACGGCCCACAAAGGCCGACCTGTATACTCGCTCGAGTGTGGAGAGCAGATGTCGCTACAGAGGCTGAGTCTAAGTCATTGTTTCACAGTAAAAAAAGCACGCGCACATCGCTGAGGCCGTGCTGCATGTTTGCTAGCCTGCCTGTGTCTGTCACCGAGTCGACAGTACCAATACCATACACTCCAGAACACGCCCCGACACACACAACTCACACGCACAATCGATATGCTTCTATTTTCACAGTCATTAATTATTAGCGGGGAATGGCTGTATTTCATACAATTTTCTATTAACCTAGAAAAACAACATATAAGGCGCGGGAAGCGGTAATGTGCCATAAATTGTTGTTAAAAAATACCTGGTTCTCATAGAATATTAGTTTTCTCGAGTCTGTGCTAGTGAATAGGTTCTAGTATCAGCAATCTTACTGTAGTATCGTTAGTCGCACTCGGCATCAAACACCGACGTCAGATCACACATGTACCCGAATCGATCGTGGACGCTGTCTGAAACGTCTGGGCAGTATGGATAGCCATGCATGTTAAAGCAGGTTAATAGGGGGTCTCATGGAACAGACGGATCTTCATCATTATGTTGTAACATGATGAACAGAACCACATATTTTACGAAATAGAACAATTAAATATCCTCGTCGTCATGGTTTCTGTTTGACCACTTAAAAGAGATAAGTGATACACGGCCGTAAGAAAAAGCATACGTAAATTACTTTGCCTCGGTAGGAGGTCGGAATCCTGCCACGAAACGCACGTTTCTGACAATTCAAGATGCCAATGTCCTCAGACACATTTCCCATTCATCACTTGTAGGTATTACTAATAGCTATGATAACGCAATTGTTTGTGTGTTTCATTCTCGTCCACTCCTAGTCTTGTTGTGTGCTACACCCCTAGCCGTGTTGTGTGTGATACACCCCTAGCCTTGTTGTGTGATACACCCCTAGCCTTGTTGTGTGATACACCCCTAGCCTTGTTGTGTGATACACCCCTAGCCTTGTTGTGTGATACACCCCTAGCCTTGTTGTGTGATACACCCCTAGCCTTGTTGTATGCTACACACATAGCCTTGTTGTGTGCTACACACATAGCCTTGTTGTGTGATACACCCCTAGCCCTGTTGTGTGATACACCCCTAGCCCTGTTGTGTGATACACCCCTAGCCTTGTTGTGTGATACACACCTAGCCTTGTTGTGTGATACACACCTAGACTTGTTGTATGCTACACCCCTAGCCTTGTTGTGTGATACACCCCTAGACTTGTTGTGTGATACACAACAAGGCTAGGGGTGTATCACACGTGTGATACACCCCTAGCCCTGTTGTGGGATACACCCCTATCCTTGTTGTGTGATACAGCCCTAGCCTTGTTGTGTGTGATACACCCCTATACCCTTGGTGTGTGACATACACCCCTAGCCTTGCTGTGTGATACACCCCTAGCCTTGTTGTGTGATACACCCCTAGCCCTGTTGTGTGATACACCCCTATACCCTTGTTGTGTGTCATACACCCCTAGCCTTGGTGTGTGCTGCACCCCTAGCCTTGTTGTATGATACACCCCTAGCCTTGTTGTGTGATATACCCCTAACCTTGTTGTGTAATACACCCCTAGCCTTGTTGTATGTAAAATTATTGTAGTCCGCCTCTCACCTGTTGTATGTTATCCTTAAATTACATCTACTGTAAATGTCCTATTGATAATTCTACTTTCGGGTCGTTTCGCCAAGGATCGAGTTCGTTCAATGCTGAAAATCAGTCCAACTGACTATTATGCTTTTCGCTCCTTCCATACCCATCGTCACCAAATATCATGTTGTTACTGTTGTTGGTTTTTGAAAGATTTTTGATGTCAGCAAAATGTCAATGTCGTCAGTATGATTGGTTCATAGTAGCTTCTCCATAGTATCATTATAATTTATTATTTCTATCCCCGTTTTCTCAAAACTTTATGGAGTTCTAGAACTTACTCCATCAAGGTAATTATGTTGTGAGTATACGTCCGCCGACTCGCCGATGTGATTAAAAAAGTACGAAATCTTACCCGTAGTAGAAAAAGGATTCAGTTTATTTTTATTAGTGTAACCGAAACTTACTTTTAGAATATCATTTTTAGTTGTCTTTCAATTACGAGCACATGCCCTTTACCATATTTGTCTTAATCTATTATTCTTCAAAATGTCTAGTGATAATTAGTTAAAAAACTAAACTATTATAGAATAAAAGAAGAATTCACGATTACTTTTAAAATCAACAGATTTTTGTTGATTGCGAAATCGTTTTTTCACACAAAAGAAAACCTTTAAAAAATGGTATTGCACCAAACACTCATTTAATTATAATTTAATGAATAATTCCCTCTATGACCCGATATACACGTACGTATTTATCACTTTATAGTGGTATACCATCACTTAAAAGTGGTATACCATCACTATATAGTGATACATTAACTAATGTCGTGTTGTTGTGACGTAGCCTTTCGACGATTCCTACAAGAGCGGTCGTATCGGCAGTAGCCTCCGTATCACGTGTCCATAGTGTACGGCGGCAATAAAATCCGATATACCCTATGGTCATAACTAATTAGTGAGGTTCGTCCACTAGTATTTCTTGTGTGCGTCATAGTGAGGTTTGTCCACAGGTATTTCTTGTGTCCGTCATAGTGAGGTTCGTCCACAAGTATTTCTTGTGTCCGTCATAGTGAGGTTCGTCCACAGATATTTCTTGTGTCCGTCATAGTGAGGTTCGTCAACAGGTATTTCTTGTGTCCGTCATAGTGAGGTTTGTCCACAGGTATTTCTTGTTTCTGTCATGGTGAGGTTCGTCCACTGGCATTTCTTGTGTCTGTCATAGTGAGGTTCGTTCACAGGTATTTCTTTTGACCGTCATAGTGAGGTTCGTCCACCGGTATTTCTTGTGTCCGTCATAGTGATGTTAGTCCTAAGGTATTTCTTGTGTCTGTCATAGTGAGGTTCGTCAATAGGTATTTCTTTTAACCGTCATAGTGAGGTTAGTCCACAGGTATTTCTTGTGTCCATCATAGTGAGGTTTGTCCACAGGTATTTCTTGTGTCTGTCATAGTGAGGTTAGTCCACAGGTATTTCTTGTGTCCATCATAGTGAGGTTTGTCCACAGGTATTTCTTGTGTCTGCCATAGTGAGGTTCGTCCACAGGTATTTCTTGTGTCTGTCAAAGTGAGTAACCGTCATAGTGAGGTTAGTCCACAGATATTTTCTTGTGTCCGTCATAGTGAGGTTAGTCCACAGGTAGTTCTTGTATCTGTCATAGTGAGGTTTGTCCACAGGTACTTCTTGTGTCTGTCATAGTGAGGTTAGTCCACAGGTAGTTCTTGTGTCTGTTATAGTGATGTTAGTCCACAGGTAGTTCTTGTGTTCGTCATAGTGAGGTTCGTCCACAGGTAGTTCTTGTGTCTGTCATAGTGAGGTTCGTCCTCAAGTATTTCTTGTGTCCGTCATAGTGAGGTTAGTCCACAGGTAGTTCTTGTATCTGTCATAGTGAGGTTTGTCCACAGGTATTTCTTGTGTCTGTCATAGTGATGTTAGTCCACAGGTAGTTCTTGTGTCCGTCATAGTGAGGTTCGTCCTCAAGTATTTCTTGTATCGGTCATAGTGAGGTTAGTCCAAAGGTATTTCTTGTGTCCGTCATAGTGAGGTTAGTTCACAGGTATTTCTTGTGTCTATCATAGTGAGGTTCGTCCCCAGGTATTTCTTGTGTCCGTCATAGTGAGGTTAGTCCACAAGTATTTCTTGTGTCTGTCATAGTGAGGTTCGTCCCCAGGCATTTCTTGTGTCCGTCATAGTGATGTTAGTCCACAGGTATTTCTTGTGTCTGTCATAGTGAGGTTCGTCCACTGGTATTTCTTATGTCTGTCATGGTGAGGTTTGTCCACAGGTATTTCTTGTGTCCGTCATAGTGAGGTTAGTCCACAAGTATTTCTTGTGTCTGTCATAGTGAGGTTCGTCCACAGGTAGTTCTTGTGTCTGTCATAGTGAGGTTCGTCCTCAAGTATTTCTTGTATCTGTCATAGTGAGGTTCGTCCACAGGTATTTCTTGTATCGGTCATAGTGAGGTTAGTCCACAGGTATTGCTTGTGTCCGTCATAGTGAGGTTAGTTCACAGGTATTTCTTGTTTCTGTCATAGTGAGGTTCGTCCACAGGTATTTCTTGTGTCTGTCATAATGATATTAGTCCACAGGTATTTCTTGTGTCTATCATAGTGAGGTTCGTCCTCAAGTATTTCTTGTATCGGTCATAGTGAGGTTCGTCCACAGGTATTTCTTGTGTCTGTCATAGTGAGATTTGTCCTCAAGTATTTCTTGTATCGGTCATAGTGAGGTTAGTTCACAGGTATTTCTTGTGTCTGTCATAGTGAGGTTCGTCCACAGGTATTTCTTGTGTCCGTCATAGTGAGGTTAGTCCACAGGTATTTCTTGTGTCCGTCATAGTGAGGTTAGTCCACAAGTATTTCTTATGTCCGTCATAGTGAGGTTCGTCCACAGGTATTTCTTGTATTGGTCATAGTGAGGTTAGTCCACAGGTACTTCTTGTGTCCTTCATAGTGAGGTTAGTTCACAGGTATTTCTTGTGTCTGTCATAGTGAGGTTCGTCCACAGGTACTTCTTGTGTCCGTCATAGTGAGGTTAGTCCACAAGTATTTCTTGTGTCTGTCATAGTGAGGTTCGTCCACAGGTATTTCTTGTGTCCGTCATAGTGAGGTTAGTCCACAAGTATTTCTTATGTCCGTCACAGTGAGGTTCGTCCACAGGTATTTCTTGTATCGGTCATAGTGAGGTTAGTCCACAGGTACTTTTTGTGTCCGTCATAGTGAGGTTAGTTCACAGGTATTTCTTGTTTCTGTCATAGTGAGGTTCGTCCACAGGTATTTCTTGTGTCCGTCATAATAATGATAGTCCACAGGTATTTCTTGTGTCGGTCATAGTGAGGTTCGTCCACTCGTATTTCTTGTGTCTGTCATGGTGATGTTAGCCCACAGGTATTTCTTATGTCCGTCATAGTGAGGTTCGTCCACTGGTATTTCTTGTGTCTGTCATAGTGAGGTTAGTCCACAGGTATTTCTTGTGTCTGTCATAGTGAGGTTTGTCCTTTGGTATTTCTTGTGTCTGTCATAGTGAGGTTAGCCCACAGGTATTT